TAATCGTTCAAGTTCAAGGACATCCTTGCTGTTATTCTGCAATTCATAGAATAAATGGAACACGAAGCAAAAGAGAAAAGTTCGAAACGCACTTCTGCCACATTTTTGTGAGATTCTGGCCCGTGCATACTCGCTCTAAAAACACGTTGTACAACAATTTAAATATTATAGATTTAAAGGGATAAGATCTCGCTTACTCATTCCTCGATCTATCAATCAGTATCGGCGCTACGTGTACGCTGGATGGATCGATTTGTGCCTTTAGGCGATCTCTTTCCTTGATAAGATCATCTATTTCCTTCTGATATTTCGCTTCCAAATCATCTATGTCGTCACATTGCTGAATGTCACAACTCAATGTCATTCTTTAAACAAAGAAATATCATACTTTTTCCAAGTATTCGATTCGTTCGTCTTTGAAGGCCAGGCACTTCTTCAGCTCGCCGATTTCGTCGCAATTCGAGTACGCAGCAAACTGCAAGAATTAGTATTGGGTTGTCGCGGAACTCGTATCGTTTTCTCAAACTCAAAAAATCCAAAAACAAGAAGGTATAACTTTGTACACCGAAAGAAGAAGCCTCGATTTTGCTAAAATTTAAAAATTGGGAACGCCAAAAATAGCCCAACTGACAATTTAGTCTTAAATTACAAGGAGATCAGAATAGCTATAACGCTATTTATTATAGTAATCGGCTATCCATTCTCCAGACCTTACTGCAGGACCACGGTAGGTTTGCACTGCGACACAAAATCACCGACGATTTATGTGAAAAGGACTAGGATCTAATGACCACCTGATTTTGAAGACTATGTACAATACCAAAAAGCGATGTCGTGCAGTGGATACCGAAGTACTCAAATCTCCTTTCTAAGCAGAGGCGATTTGATTTCTCCATCGTCCACCTTCCTGATCTTGAGTAAGGGCCTCTTATACAACGCAGATATGTCTTTCGTCATCAGCATGTAAATTGACTCCAGTAGATTACTTTCAGAGAAATCATTGATTGTTCCTCCATCGTATACCTACTGTAACCCCCCGGGAGACTATGAAGGAAAGTGAATTCGATTTTCTACTCAGCGCATTCAATTTGCCTTAACTGAAAAGTTCTAGCGATTCCAGTCTTCACATTCTGAAAATTTGCAAGTTGAGCCTTTCTCGTCTTCCCAGATTTTTCCCTTAATTCAAAATTATCAAAACTGAAATAGTTGGCTAAGCCATGGATGCTTTCTTTTAGAGAAAGGCTTTCATTCAAATGATTTGGAACCCTCATTGCTACACATTGAGTGTGCCCCAAAGGACCCATACATCGGTACTCTTAATTAGATACCTCCTAGAACTTGATGAAGAAATTTCCACAAGTTCCAGGGTCTTCGTAATATATGAGGTAGATAAAGTTGATATCCAACTTTTCAGGGCAGATAAATAATCCTGACTATAATATTGCATAACAGATAGAATCATTAATTTGAACCCTTAATTCTACCACTACCTATTCCCTCCTAAATCTTAAATTACAAAAGAATTAAGGTGATCAGCACACCCCTATCTGCTTTTATTGAATGTAGTTTGACTTATTTTCACATCAAATTATATAAGCGGGAAACAGGAGTCATTTGAGCATAAAGGTCAATTATCACAGAAAAAACCTCACTTTTCGTAATCGATCAATTTCCTGCTTCAAAATGGTATTTTCTTTTTCAACCGCTACTATTCGCTCTCTTGTTTCCTAAAAATATGTATTAACATGAACTTTCATTGGAAAAGTGGCAACGAGACAGACCTTCATTGAGTCTCCGCTGCACGACATCGAGTGATCTGGCGTGAGTGGTTTTATACTGAAAAAAAGAGGTTAACCTATTCTCCTTTTTTTTGTTCTTTTCCAACCCTTCAGTCAATGCAGCTCGTAGATTTGGTACTACAGGCTCACTAGCTGGCTCAATTTGAGCTTTTAGAGTATCTCTTTCTTTAGTAAGATCGTTGATCTCCTGTTGATACTTCGCCTCCAAATCGTCAACTTCATCGCATTGCTAAATAGAAGTGTATTCCTACCTTACTTCTACAAGTAAGTGCAAGCAGCATTGAAACATCACCTTTTCCAAATATTCAATAGTTTCGTCTTTTATGGCCAGATAACGTTTCAACTCATTTATCTCATTGCATTCGGCGTAATTAGCAATCTGAATGTGCGAATGTTGATAAGAAAATTCTGGAAAACTCAGATAATGCTGATCTCGTTCTAAATTAATATTTGTTACGCACAACAGTATTCAAAAGGATTTTCAACAAAAACAAAATCCAGACCCGCTGTGTCATCTTTTAAAACGATGTCTGAAAGCCGAGAAACAGAACGTACCCTCTTAAGCTGATCCTTCTCCACTTTCAACATATGAATTTCTCCCTCGAGTGCTGCAATCTTTTCCTGAAATCAAAAGTAAGGTTTAAAAATTGCCAAGCAGAAAACGAGCTAGCACAACAGTCCAACCTTGAAACCTTCTTCATTGGTGTTGGACATCACTAATTTCTCTGATGAGCTTATTTGCGACTTTAGCTGATCACGTTCCTTGTTCAGACAATTGATTTGTTCTTTCAGCTCAGCCTCAGTTTCTTCAAACTTGTCACATTTCTGAATAGCCGATAACTTTATAACATGACCAAGTATAAGGGAAAGATTTACTTTCGCCAGCTCATCCGCAAAACGTTCTTTTTCGACAAGGGCTTCCCGTAGTTTAGTAACTTCTTTGGAGTTCTGAACACACAAAACCGAACATTTCGTGCAATCCTGTTTGTCTCCAAATTAAAAATTAATAGAACAAACTTTCTGTTCTTTCTGTTGCGCTAGACCAATTTCTTCAGTACTCTGTTTTTTTGTGGATTCAAGCTCTGCTTCCAAGGAACTCAGTTCACTCCTCAACAAAGCTTTTTCGTTTTCCAATACCGCTATTGTTCCTTTCGCCTAAACAAGTAAGGTATATCAGCCTTTTCGCTAAAGCGTATAGACTTTACCTGTTCAAGTGCGGCTACTGCCTCTTCACAATTTTTCTCCTTTTCGCGAAACTTTTCTTCAATTACAGCCATTTGACTTGCAAGAACAACTGATTTCTCTTGAGCTTGTGCTAGGGCTTCCTTTCCCTAAATTTCTCAACCATATTCGCGTTTAAGTTTGAAGAAGTAGTAGAACTGAACTTAGAGGCACATGTAATTACCCTATCTGCTTCTTCAATGAACTTCTTGTTCGAATCTTCAGCCACACGCAGTCGATCCTTAAAGGCATCGCGTTCGGAAGTGATGGCAGCAGTCTCACATTTGAGTGTCTCCAGTGCCTTGAATACATACTATCACAATGGGCATCACTACACATTATAAGATAATCATTATTGAAAGCGAAGTAATATAAGATGATTGGAAGAGGTCAATTATAGATCATTTTCTTGGATTTACCAATGATTTTATTTCTTTAGTCGCAAAAGTTCATATATTGAAATCATCAAAAAGTTACAAGTCGTGCAAGAATATGGGAATTTTGAGCCCTCAATCCTACATCAGTAGCACAAAATTTAAATGCTTTCGACATGCTGTTGGCGACTTAAAAGACAACGCAATGCATTTTCTCGGGTGAGATTTGTAAACTCCCCGTGAACTCTTTAAAGTGCTGGCACCACAGCATTGGTCAATTATCCTACTTACGGCTAACATTTGAGGTATAACTAAACAGATTCAGTGATACCTTCGGCAATTATTGATTGTTTTTAAGGTTCTCGAATTTCTGTAGCTTGATAGAAATGAGTTAAAGCCTAATGATAAAGAAAGATACTTCTTCGTAAAAAAAAGAGAAGTTGCGACTTTACTGTATCCAGATGATTTATATAATCATTATTATTCCAAAAAATACATACCTGCTGCAATTCTGCAGCTTCATTTGATTTTTCGTTAGCAGCTGCCAATTGACACTTTAAACAATCCAGTTCCATCTCAAGGGAACCGATAACCTTTTTGGATTCAGCAGATGCACAGTTTAACTGCAATCAGATCACTCGATAGTGGCAAGGAAATCGTGAACAATGTCAAACCTTCTCAATCTCAGTTTGATTTTCTTCGTACACGTGTTTGGCTAACTGGACTTCTACAAGTAAGTTTTCTTTGGATTTCCGAAGCTGGTCTACCTCTTGTTCTAGTTCATGCACTCGTATCATAGCCTAAAATTAGCTTATCCAAAAATAAATGCAATCAAACATTATAGGAAGTGCAAACCTGTTCCACCTCAGCGATCTTCTCCTCGCACTTCTTGGTTTGCAATGCATTCTCCGATTGCAACGTTTGAATCTGCTCTTCAGATTTCGCCTTTATCTCTTCCAAGCCCTTAATCAGCTCCGCACTCTGAATGAACAATTAAATTAATTAATTTTGCGATCTGAACCATAAGCCACTCTTAGAAGTTTTTTGCCAGAGTATATCCAAAATGATGGAAGATGTTAAAAAGTCAACTATTATCAAGTTAAGCATTTGAAAATGTATGATTCTTTTCGAGTGATGACCCCAAAGTCTGCGAACAGCTCGTACTTGCAACTTTTGCCTCGTACAGTCGAGTAGGGAAAGTTGTTCAGAAGACAACAAAGAAAGCGCTGCCTGTTTAGGATGTGTTGCGGATCTTGTGGGCAAAAAAGCCGTGTATAGAAGTAGAATAGAAACGTCAAAGTTCCTAAAAACCCACATTTTCTATGTTCTCCGTCAACTCAACTGCTTTCTCCTCAGCATCTTTGAGTTTTTCTTCAAACTGTGCCTTTTGTGCAGTTAATGTTAACTGCAGATCTCTCATTTGTTCTTGGACTCTCTTAAATAAAAACATTAATAAGCCTAAGACTCCGTAAAAGCAAATTTACAACCTCAACAGCTTCTGTTGCTTTTTTAACATTCTCTTCCGCTTCCTCTCTACGAGATTCTTCATTAGAGAGAGCAAACTTGGTCTGTTCCAAGACTTTATTCAGAGAGTTCCTTATAGAAATCAGTATTATCAATAGCACTTAGGGAAGATTTAACATCCAACGTACCTCTCATGCCGCAACTGCTCAAGTTCGCGTTCAGTAACATTTCGAGCGAGTTTTTCCGCTCCTAATTGTTCTTCAAGATCTACCAGCTGAAAGAACTTTTTCAAAAAAAAA